AAGAAGGGACAGGATGAGCGGAAGAGAAGAGGAAAAATCACGAGGGACAACATAAAGTACGCGTGCAGCCGCCAGTACTCTGTCCGCATCACTTGCACGGCGCGCGCCATCGAGCCCTCGGGCCCACGGAGCGCGAGCCCGGGGATCCGAATGGACATCTGCGTCGCCTTTACAACAGCGGCGAGGCCGGCGACCATGTTTAACGCGTTGAACGTGATCCACGCCATCTTGATTTGGAACGCCGTCTCTCCGCCCATGGAGCTGCCCGTCACGTCGGACCGCGCCTCGACCATCTTATCAAAGCCAAAGAGCGCGATCAGCGCTGCCTGCGTCCCCATCGCGAAGCAGTTCTGCGTAAAGTACTCGAGCTCCTTCTCGTCGATGCGGAGGAGCGAGAGCGTGAGCTGCCGCTGCAGGTCCTGCTTGTCGGCGAGGATCATGTGGTCGGCGATTCGAGCTCGTGGCGAACAGGGTGCACGAGCACAAACCGCGACGGACAACTCGGGCCCAAGGTCGGCCAACCAAGGGCCGCCGAACTCACACACGTAAACGCTGTTCACGTAAACGCACAACCCCGGGCAGTAAACACACAACCCCGGGCCCGAAATCGCACAGAGACAGTCACGCAACACGTTCACAGCCTTGTTATTGAGAAGAAAACACGTCCTATGGCGCTGTGCGCTGGTCTGTGAGAGGTTTGAGGTGCGAGCCCTGGAGGCCCTCGGCGACGGCGTCGGCGTCGGCGGCATACCAGGCGGGTAGGGGGGGGGGGAAGAGGGCGGAGCGCACGGGTGTGCAACTCCGGTCAGCTTTTCGTAGAGCCTGCGCTCGTCCGGAGGCGCACTCGCCGCCCCAGCAACCTCCACCTGGTCTGTCGACGAGGCGTCCACCGCTGCTGCGCCGGCCGGGAGGGGAAGCATCGGCTGCTTTGCTTCGTGGAAGCGCGAGAAGGCAAACTCCGTCGTCAGCGGACCCGGGAGCTCGTACATGGCCGCGTTGCCCTCGATTGCGCCCTCCGCCATCGCCGACGTGCGGAAGCGCCCCTCTGAGGGGTAGAGGTCGCGTTTCCCGTCCCGCGCCGTACGCCAAGCAAAGGACTGCCCGACCAGGCCGTGGGTCTGGGCCAGCGCCGCCTCGTCCCCGTGCGCGTGCAGCGACACGTCGAGCCGGTGCCTCGGGCCGCTAATGCGGCCGAAAACTGGCGCGGCGGCCACCTTGATCACCCATCCTGGGACCCGGAACCTTGCGCTCGAGAACCTGACGAGAATCTCCATCTCCTCGCACTTCTTGTACCCGCCCGTGCCGAGGAAGAACTGGCCGCGGTCGCCGCACGTGCCGGTGATCATGTTGGGTCCCGTTGTGAACTCGTTCAGCTCGGAGGTCCAAAAGCTTGCCGTCGCCAGCTTGTGCTTCTCCCCGCCAACCAGCGCCACGGCGTGCAGCTCCGTCGGACTGGACACCAACGCGGTATGGGTGGACGCTAGACAGTAACTTGGTAAGGGGATTGCTAAGTAAGACCTAACTAAGTCCCGAGAACAATTT